CAGCTCGGAGTAGGCCCTGGCTGGGAATTCTGACTTGCTCCAGCTGATTTTCCTTCCCCCCCGGGGGCCTGGGGGAGCCAGAAAACATTTTCCAGGGAGCCACAGGAGCCTCTTCCCTGCGCTTGTGCCTCTGGGTTCAGTAGCTCGCACCAGGCTTAATTGGGCTTGGGAACATTTCAGGCGAAGTGTGGCCTGCAGAGAGCAGCGCTTGAATGGCACTTTTTGGAATGATGAATGTGCTTGTTTGGGTTTGAATGAGACGGAATCAGCAGATACAGTATTGCGCTGGAAACTGAAGGGTGGAGAGCTCTCCTTTTTCCCTTGAAAAAGCATGATTTTTTATATTGCAATTAAACAGCCCTTTGGGCTGAATTTGCTTCTCTACTGCTGACATTGAAAAATGCCAAACAAAGATAGCGGCTCCACTCTCCTTGAGACACGCCTCCAGGGACAGGGAAGCAGCCGCTGTCTCTCAGGGAAATGGCGAGAGATGCCACTGCTCTGGGAGCAGGGGCTTCGGACACCAGCGTGGGCAGCGGGGCTGCCCAGCCTGGATGGACATGACCTCTGGGTATCTGGAGGGCTCCCGCCCAGCTGTCCCCATTGGGGACCACGGCCCTGCCACAGGCTACCCATTCCTCCCTGGAGGCCAGGAAAGGCAGTTCCCATTCGCTAAGGGCCCGAAGTCCGTGTGCCTTTGATTCCCACATGAGGGCGTAGGGCTTTGAGGGCGGACCTGGCACAGAGCTCCGGTGAGGACTGAATCCTGTGGCATCTTCGAGGTTTGCTTGCGTCCAAAAGCTCTCCCTTCTTCAGGAGAATCTCCAGGTAGCTCAGATACAAAGCCACACCTCCCTCTCAGGAAGCTGAGGCAGGGATTTGATCTCCTCTCCTCTCCCTGAAAGTGGGGACATGAGATCAGCTCAGGACTAGACTGGGGCTTTGACTCCTGAAGGAGGGGCACAGGGCGGAAAGGATCATCAGAGACCATGGCAAGAAGCAAACTGGTAGCGTGGCTGAGAGCGTGGGCCCTGGAACCGGGCAGCCGGGAGGCCTGGGCCCCCTCCTTATTGGCTGTGGATCTCAGGCAGCCTACTGTGCCTCTCTGCCTCAGTTTCCACATCTGCAAATGGAGCGAATACAGGAAAGCACTGAGCATATGCAGGACCCTGTGAGCCCCAGGGAGGCCTTGTGCCCGCTGATATTTGTGTTGGTGACAACATCAAAATCCCCTGGGTGTCAGTGAGTCTGGGTGCCGGTGCCAGCAGGGGACCAGAAGCTGGCAGATTGGAAGGCACGGTGTGGCTGGTGCTCACTGGCTCAAACTGGGCTCTTTTCTAGGAGCCCCTGTTCTGCTCGTGTTGTGTAAGTCTGTTTTTGTTGCCTTTCACCAAGGATCTCGACCCATACTGGCCATAAATAATCCACAGTTGTTGGTTTTTTTTGTACCGGGAATCGACACAGAACGGTTTAGAAGAAGCCTCAGAGTTAATTTGTGTAGTCAAGGCAGCCTTGGATTAAGAACGCAATATCCGTTATCTGCCTTGATCCGCCACTCACCCCGGGGAACGGGCATCCTCTGCTCCCCACTTGCTCGATAAGGACTTGAGGATTCACAAATGGGATGAGAGACAAGAAGGCTGTCGGCACGCAGTGAAGATTTTCTCCACCCGTGAGTCACAGCACAACCAAATTCTGTCCAAACCGACCTCAGTTCAAATCTTGCCTCCATCTCTTTCTTTGGACAAACTGTCTCTTAACCTCTGGCCTTCATGGCCTCAGGGGTAGAGTGGAAGAATACCCGGAGAATTCCGGGTCAGAAAACCGTATGGAATTTCTGCTGCTGTCAGAGCTCACAGAAGGAAAGGGCTGGGCTGGGGGCCAGCACGTGCACAGAGGCAGAAACGGCCTGTGCTGGGCAGAGGGCCCTCCTGACGGCCTCGGGATGGAAACGGCCTTCTGGGCAGCTCATGACTTTGAGTGGGTCCAGGCTACTCAGTGGTCAGCTCAAAGAATGAGGTTTTCCTGGGGGCCTGGCCCATCCCAGCTCTCCTGGGATTCTTGGGGAAAGAAGGGTAGCCAGGCCTCTATCAGCTAAACAATCGTAGTGGCTAAAAGAAATGGTTCTGGGTGGTCCAACTGTCCAGGTTAGAGTCCCAGCAACACCTCCCAATTGCTGTGTGACCTTGAGCAAGTTGATTCACCTCCCAGCCACAATTTCCCAATCTGTTCCTTGAGCGGTTTTGTGAAGATTAAGCACTTAACACTGAGATTTAATAAGTGGTACATATTAGTGTTGTGCTGCCAGCTTACCTTATCTCTCTCCTCTTCGTGAGCTCCCTGCACTTCCTCCCTCCGACGTCCACTGGCACCAGACAGACCAACACCAGGCCTCGGCCTGCTCTGGGCTCAGGGGAGAGGGTTTCTTGGGGTTTACCAAGTCCCAGAGTGAACAACATCATCTCTGGGGCCCACAACAGTCCCTGGCGCACAGACAGAGGGCTCCCCAAGTGGGAGCTCTGGCTATTATTTTGGGCACAGAGCCTCATTCAGAAAGTAGATGAGTTTAATTACAGGAAAATGTTGAATACTGTGAGCTCCTTATTCCTATCACTGTGACTTCCAGACACCTGCTCCATTCAGGGGAAAAAAATAAGTTTAAATTGAAAAACGCTTCTTCTGCAGTCCTTAATCACCACCTCATTGAAGTTTGTGTACAAAATGTCACCTGTGAAGAAGCCATCAGAGTGGTACAAAAGTGTGAGGGAGGATCCAGGGCCCTACCTCCTCTGACCCGGCCAGGGACGGTCCAGACCCAAGGACAGGGTCAATGACACTCGGCCACAGGCTTGACAGAAAATGTCACATCTCTACGTGACACCTACAGAAAGTTTAAAGTCACATGAACATCCTTAGGCTAAAATGTTAAGGGAGGAATGTGACATAAAATTGTGTGGTCAAATGATGAGAGGGCAGGGCACCCAGGGAGAGAGGGGGGGCCCAGAAAGACAATGCTGGTCCGGCAAAGGGAGGAGGGTTGAATGGATCAGGCAAGAGTTAGGAGACAGGCAGGCTGGGGACACACTGCCCAAAGGAGCAGGTTGTATGGGCTGGATTCACACAAGTTAGGAGCTCCTGTTCCCATTCACCCTGGACACGACATCCTTAAGAAAATTTTATCTGATGGAATCCAAAAAGTTATCAAAAGGATAATAATCCTTTTGACCAAATGGAGTTTATCCCAGGAATATAACTTTGGCTTAATATTGAAAAGCCAATCATAGCTGGGCATAGTGGCACACATCTGTGATCCCAGCCCTCGGAGAGGCTGAGGCAGGAAAATTGAAGTTTGAGCAGGCAGTTCAATAAGAGACTTAGCAAGATCCTGTTTCAAAATAAAAAATCATAAAAAGGTCTAGAAATGTAGCATAGAACAAAGGCCCTGGATTCAATCCCCATAACCACAATAAAATAAAATGAAATAAAAGCCAATTAATGAGATTTACTGTATTAACAAACTAAAAAAAGAAAAACATATAATTATGTTTGTAACTTCTTTAACATCCACATTCGATTCATGATAAAAATTGCTCCCAGCAAACTAAAATAAAAGGGAATTTTCTCAGCCTAATAAAATGTATGTACAAAGCCTCAGCTACTTGATAGTGAAATATTGAGCATTTTCCTTCAACGATCAGGAATGAGACAAAGAGGCCCGTGTATTGCTTCTATTCAATATTGTACTCAAGGTTCTGACCAGTGTAGTAAGGCAGGAAAAATCTGCTTATAGATTAGAGAGGAAGAAGTAAAACTTCTTTATCCCTAAATGACATAATCATCTATGTGGAAAATTTTACATTTCTTACAAGAAACGACTAGTAATAGTAAAGGATTTTAACAGGGGTACAAAGTCAGCACACAAGCAAGTTGTATTTCTGTACACTAGAAGTGTAATAATTATACCATGGACCTTTGGCTTGTGAACTCAATTCATTCCCGAGGGCTGCATGTAACTCAGGTTGTCAGTTGAAGGCTCAGGCTCCTCTGCACAGCCTTCAAAGTCTCTCTCCTATGTACAGGCAGACCTCAGTGTCCTTTGAGAGACATTGGCCCGGGATCTCTCAACCCAATACAGGAAAGGATGTTGTAATGTTCCTTCAGAACTCTTTAAGGGTTAAATTTGTATCTGAGACTACCTGGAAGCTCAAGCAGCCAGCATTTGGGTCATAACTCAAGACCTTGGTTGTAAGGTAAAACTAAAATTCCGGTCATAACCTAAATTGTTCATACGTCAGGCCAGTCATAACTCGAGGGTTCACTGTATGTGCATACTAGAAATAAACCATTAGAAATTTGTAGTTTGAAAGTAATCACAAGGTGGGCATGATGGTGTACACCTATAATCCTAGCACTTGGAAAGGCTGAGGCAGGAGGATCACAAGGCTGAGCCTAGCCTGGGCAATTTAGTGACTCAGCAAGATTCTATCTGGGGAAAAAAAAAAAAATTTAAAAAGGGCCAAGGATAAAGTTCAGTGTGAAGGCCCTGAGTTCAATTACAAATGTGAAATATTTAAGGATAAATTTGTCAAAAGGGCTGGGCAGGGTGGTACACAGCTGTAATTGGAGGCTAAGGCAGGAAGATCACTGTGAGTTGGAAGCCAGCCTGCACTACATGGTGAAACTTTGTCTCAAGAAAAATTGTCAAGAGGTATTCAAGACCCAAACAACAAAAATTACAAAATATTGCTCAGGGAAATTGGGAGGTAACTGATGGAGAAGCACCTCGTGTTCATGGAACAGACGGCCATATTGTTAGATGTCAGCTCTCCTCAAACTGATCTAAGGACTCATGCAATCCCAGTCAAACCCAGCAGGCTTTTTGTAGGAGAAACTGGCAAGTCGACGCCAAAATGTACATGTAAATGTGAAAGGGGCTCAGTGGACAAAATAACTTTACAAAAGAATGACCTCAGGAGATACATACTGCTTGGTTTAAAAACTTTATATAAGGCAAAAGTAAACAAGAACATGTGTTACTGAAATAAAAACAGACAAATGAAACAGAACAGGGTCCTGTAAGGTCCACACATACCAGGTCCACTGAGCTCTGACAAAGGTGCAAGGACTCTCGTTTCCACAGAGGGTGCTGTATTGACTGTATGAGCAGAAGGCTGAACAGCAAACCTCCACCTTTTTCTTGTACCAGGTACAAAAATTAATTTCAAAAGATTCGCATCTCCAAATATAACAGCTAAAACTCTAGAACGTCTAGAAGAAAACATGGGAGACAGCCTTAATGAACTTTGGGTGACAAAGACTTCCTAATTACAACACAAACATTTCAAAGTATAAAAGAAAAACTCAATCAATTGGACTTTATTGCAGTTATAAAGGTTAGTCTTCAAAATAATTTGATAAGAGAGAAAATGAAAAAAATCAAGGCACAGATCAGCAGGAAATATTTGCAAAGCAAATTACTAACACAGTGATGGTCAGTGACAACTTTGTGGAAATACTAACAGCCCCTGAATTACACATTTTAAGAAGGTCAAATTTAAGGTATGTGAATTATGTCTCAGTAAAGCTTTAATCACAAGCAACGCATATTCAACAAAAGACTTGTATCTAGACTGTAGAAAGGACTCTTGCAGCTCAATAAGATGATAAAGTAAAATTTTTATTTGTTTGTTTTTTGAGAAGGGGTCTCACTGTGTAGTTCAGGTTGGCCTTGAACTCACTATGTAGGCCAGGCTGGCCTCTAACTCATGGCAATCCTCCTGCCTCAGCCTCCAAAGTGCTGGGATTACAGGTGTGTGCCACCATGCCCAATTTTTACAACTGAACATAAGATTCAGGCATATATTTCCTTTTCCAAAGGAGACATATGATTGGCAAATGAGCACCTGAGAGGATGCTCAAGACCCCTGCTCACTAGAGACATGCAAATTAAGGCTATGAGGGACACCGCTACCCACCTCTGAGCTGGCCCGAATTTGTGCTCCCTTGTGCCATCCCCAGGCAGCACGGAGTGGCTCCCCAGCTCCCAGGGTTTGAAGGAGGCTCTCTGCCCCTCTCCACCTGCACTCCCATTCTGGCACCCCAGGTAGCAAGCTCAGGCGGTCATAACCACTTCTGGGCCAGGCAGTGCCTGGAGCCAGACCAGGCTAGAGGTGAGAGAACAACCAAGGCAGTGCCTTTGGTGAGTGGCGGCAGCGGGCTCTGGGTGCAGGAACAGGGCATCAGGAAGAGGCTGGTTTCCACCTGAGCTGCTGTACTAGACTATTTCTGATTAGGTAATTTATAAACAGCACACGTTTATTGCTCCATAATTCTGGAGACCGGGAAGTCCAAGATCAAGGGAGCAGTGGATCTGGTCTCTCCAGTGTGGGCCTCTTCTCTGCGGAGGCGGTTTTTTTTTTCCTGCACCCACACATGGCAAGAGCGCCCTCTCCAGCCTGTCTTATCCTTAACCACGACCGTGAGGGTGGTGCCTTCATGACTCACTTACTTCCCCAAAGCACCGCTTCCTAACACCTCATGGGGAATCAGCTTCCTGCACTCGAGTCTCAGGGAGACACCAGCATTCAGCGCACAGCAGGGGCCTAGGGAGGGTGGCAGGGGATGAGCAGGAAGCACCAGGACAGGGCGCAGGGGCACAGGTGTGAGGAGGAGTGAAGCCGGAAGGTCTGGGAAGAACTCAGCGGGCAGCACTAAAGGGACTAGAGGGCGATGAAGAGAGAGGAGAAAGGGCCAGCCGGGTGGGGCGGGGCATGGCACTCACCGGGCAGCCAGTGTGTGAAGAGACACCAGCTCGCGCTTTGCAGATGTGTGGTTTGGTGGTTCGGTGCCCCAGACCTCACCCAGTGGCCACAGTTGGGTGTCTGAGGGCCAGAGAACGCAGAGCTGAGCGGGCAGCCGGGCAGTCGGCAGCGGAGGGGGAGTCTGGGAGCCTTGAGGGTGGAGACACTGCCAGGAGCAGGGCAAAGGGAACGGGGCGGGGCGGGCACGGGGTGGGGGGGCACGTCCTCTGAGGCAGGCCAGGCTCTGGGAAAGGCAAATGAGATCGAGCGGCTGTTCCCCTGCCAGCTCCTTCCTGGCTGGGCCTTGAGACGGCATAAGGAAGAACGGGGAGAGGGGGAGGACTCTGGCCCCGAAACTGGAGGAAACAGGCCTCACAGAGGTGCCAGACACAAGGGCCCCTTCCGAGCAGGCGCCAACCTGGTCTCCTAATGTCCCAGTCTGATTTTTATTTTTAAAGAATTTAGGCCAAATTCATCGCCGCCGTCCACCAACCTTCTGCTCTCTCGCTTTTCCCTCACCCGTGCACCCAGCGAACAGTTTCTGAGCTCCCTGCTCTGGCCGTCAGCTGGCACGGGGCGCGCTGGGCAAGCAGCCAGACGCAGTCCCTGCTCTGCAGGTCCTGCAGGCCCACGGCAGGCAGGGTGAAGAGGGGACTGGCGATGACTGGCAGGGCCCTCTGGCACCACCATCTCCCACCCCTTTCCTGCTCTGTTCCCAGCCTCAGGGTCTGGTCCCCGTGCCCTCCGACCCTCTCCCTGCCAGGCTACCCGCTCTTAGGCTCCAGACCCTCTCTACCACCAACGGCCACGCTGCTTGCTCAGGCCTCTGACCCTCAGACACACAGCAGCTTGCAGACAAGAGCCGCACCGAACTGCACACCGGCAAAGCGGAAGCTGGTGTCTCCACAGGGCCACGCCTCCTGCACCAGACAGACCCTGCTGCTGCCACCCGCCACTCTCCCTCAGCTCACCCAGGCTCCAGACAGTCTCACCTCAAAGGGGTTAGGAGCTCCTGGGTATGGCAGGTGGGTATCTGGGGTGGTGGGAGGAATAGCCCCAAGCCTCGTCCCCTGGCCTCTTTCCTCTCTCCTCCAGCAAATCCAACTACTCAGAGTCCTCCTGAGGCCACCTGCAAAATTGTTTTCAGATCTGTTCACTTTCCATTCTCCCTAAGTATCTGCACAAGTTCAAGCCCTCACGTCTGAGTGGTTCACCCTCCCCACCTACAGCCCTTTGGCTGTAAATGTCCCTAATGTGATGTATAACAGACAGGAGACTCTTAGTTGCAGGTAACATAACTGTAACTCAAACTAGCTTAAGGAAAAGACTGAATTTATGGGTTCATATAACTAAAAGGTTCAGTCTCATCTCAGGTGTGGCTGGGTCCAGAAGCTCAAGCAATGTTGAGAGGAGCTTGTCTCTCTGAGTCAATGGTGTATTTGTTTGTTTGCTTCCTTAGCATAACTCTTGGGCACCCTGTCTCCATGAGCAGCCTCAGTTTTCCCACGTCAAGACCAGCAGGAAGAGAGACATACCTATGCATCTCATCAAACTCCAGGAAGTAGTTTCATGGGCAGGACTGGGTTGTACACCTGTCCCTCCACTAGTCACTGGGATGCAGGTGAGTTCGGTTGCCCAGTGGGGCTCGCCAGGGCCCCTGCGCTGTCTCCACCTATGCCACAGGCACCGCAAGCAGGAGAGGAAGATTCCTCCTGCAGGAAACCCAGGTCTCCGTCAGGGAGGGCGGGATGGCCATGGGATTGGTGTCAGAAGAAACAGCTGGGCCTGCCTGAGATGGGAAAGCACTGGCAGAGAACAGGAAGCTCTGTAAAGGTCGACTGAGCAAAAGCAGCTGTAATTACAGTCATTTACACTACACAGTCTCTATCTCTGCCCAATTATCACGCCGCGCACTTGCTGCCACACTCAGTCACCATCGCACGTGTCTTCAGGTAGGTGTGGGGATAACTGCTCTGCGTGTAGGATCTAATGACACGTCTGCACGGTGTGCTGTCCTGACTGAGGCTCCTGCTAATCCCTGAAATAACATGGGGGGACCTCCCTCCCGGGGCAGTTCTGAGCTCACCTTGAGCTGACATCAGGATGAACCTGACTCCCAGCCTTGGATCAAAGCCAAGCCTGCCAGGCTGCGGGGTGCAGGTGGGTGGGAGTCAGACCCCCATGGGGCTGTCACGGGGCAGCCCAGGGTTCTGACTCCCCTCCTGCCACCCAGATGCCCTGCGTAAGGGGCCTAATGAGGGGAAGGGCTGAGCTGGCTCAACCCCGAGGAGGCCCCTGAGTACCCCTTCAAACCAACATCTCTCTTCCTCCAACTCCAAGATTGTCCCCCTGCTTGATAAATGCACCAACCAGCCTGTTATCTTCGATAAAGTTTCTCCTGATGGGGGCTCTTCAAGGACCTCGCCAAAGCCCCTGGTCACGGGTGTGGGGTGCAGAAGCTGTCCAAATCCTGTTTACTGACTGGTCTTAGGGAAGAAGCACACCGACACTCCTCTGAAAGCAAAACCGACCTAACTCCCGCGGCCTATCGGGGAAAGTCGTCTGTCCTGGAGTGCCCCCTGCTGGCCACAGCCTCAAACGGCGTCCCCGCGCTCGAGTCGCTCAGAGGGCAGTCAGTGGCTTGGCTCCTCAGCCCTGTGCATTTCTAGGGCTACCAGGCAGTCATCCTGGGCTTGGGCAGATGGCAGACAGGGCAGAGGTTAGACACACCCATCTCTGTCCACAGGAACGTGTCGGTGCAGCTTTCCTCCCTCTCCTGCAGACGGGGTGGAAAGAACATGCCCAGCACGAAATGACTGGGCCGTCCAGGCACATCTCCTCGCTTTGCTGAGACTCGGCCAGGCTGTGAGGTGGAGTTCAAATGCCTGCCACCTTCACGCGCTGCCCGAGTCGGATCACACAGATGTGCACACTTTACCGGGGGCCCAAGGCAGCACTCACGTGTCTAACGTGCCCATGGGGGCGATGGCGCAGGTCCGCCCCCACAGCCTGTCTCAGGACCTGGGCTCCGCCTGGCAGAGCCTGTTCAGATGTGTGGGGCTCTGATGTAGTTTTTCCATAAAACCACTCATATTCTGTATTGAAGCCGTTTCCATACTCCGAGATTAGTTCATTTCCAGCACAGGGCACCAGTCCCCCCCAACACACACACACGTTTGTCGACACGGTGGTGAGAGTGAGGGCTTGTCTGTTTTAAGGGCAAAATAGAAAGGTGGTGACAGTACATACCAGAGATACCAGAAAATCAAAACAAGAACCAGACACTAGCATGTGAACTCCTGGGCCCCACTGGGGATTTTTCTAAAATGAAACCCAACGACACCGTTCCCCGGGAGTCCCTCCAGCGTCTCAGGAGAGTCCAGTGTCAAAGAGGCTCATGAGCCTTCAAGACCCAAAATGTTGTCCCATACTTATTCTCCAGGAAGAGCAAAATTCTTGCACCCTCTGCAATCCCAAGCCACCTCCGGTCTGCCCTGAGGGTGAATCCCCCAAGCCCTCCCGGCCAACACTTCCTCGCCCCTGTGCCAGCATAGCCCTGTGTCACCTCTTGCAGCCACAGCAGGTGGCTCCTCAGGGTTCTGCCTCACACTCCAGGACTACAGCAGCTCTGCCGCCCACACCGCCCCCCAGAGACCCCTGGGAAAGGTCTCTTTCTACCACTGTAGTTCTGCCCTTTTCAGAATATTGTAGAAATGGAATCACACAACATGTAGCCTTCTGCAATTGGCTTTTTGTTTTTGTTTTTGCTTTTTCCTGCAGTATTGGAGATTGAACCTGGGGCTTTCATACTGAGCTACATCCCCAGTCCCTTAAATATCTCTTATTTGGAGACAGGGTCTCACTGTCACTAAATTGCCCAGATTGGGCTGCAACTTGTAATCCTCCTGCCTCAGCCTCCCAGAGTGCCTTCATTGTTCAATCTATCTTTTTTTAAAAAAATCACTTTAAAACATTAGGTCAGATCACTGCTCAGCCCTGCATATAGGCGTGGTAATCATTTAAGGAGCGGCTGTCTAAATATGGGTAAGGTGAGCTTTATCAGCCCTAAGCTGGCGTCACTTGTCTCATCCCCATTCAAGATTGAGGACACCACAGTAAGGGATTTATGGGGACGCTCAACTACCAACTTTTACTCCCTGGAATGGGCATCCAGAAATCTCCCATCATTGCCCCAAACCTACAGTCTGCCTGGATTCCAGCAGAGCCTCCCTGAAACTGAGACTGCCTCCTAAGCAGGAGCAATCATCTCATGGAGACCAGCTTAACTCCTCAAGCAATAAGGACTTCCCTGGAATGCCTTGCAAAACCAGAACTTAGATAATGATCACCCTGACCCTACCCCACCTCAACAGTTCCATAAAAACTGGCCTCATTCTTTTGTTGGGGGCCAGTCTGGTCTCCATCATAGCTGTGCGCCTGTCAATTCCTCAAGAGGAAGTCCCTGCCCCATTTTCTCTTACCCTCTAACTCTGCCTAATGAATTAGCCTATGTCTCTCACTGACACACCTTGCAATTCTGCAACAAAGGTCTAGAACTTGCCTTGGCTGAGATAGGTCTTCATTTCCCCTTTAAAGGGGCTTCCTCAGATCCTGTGCAGTGACACCCTCAGACCCCAGGTAGGGCCTACCTCATTCTGCAGCCACCCACCTGTGGGCTACTGAGTGAGCTTCCGGCCTCTTTGCTGTCCATCTTGTGACTCACACCCGTTACAGTGCAGCCACTGAGGTCACTTCCTCACACACAGTCTCTACCTCAAGGTAGTAGGTCTCTGGGATGAAACCAGCCCCTTCAAGATCATTATGGTTTAGATATAAGATGTCATTCCAAAGCCTCAGAGTTTGGAGAGTGACTGGGTCATGGGGCACTATACTCATGAGTAAATCAGTCAATGGATGAGCTTAGAAGCGACCTGCTGTAAGGAGGTGGGGCCTGCTTGGAGATGGGTCTGTGGGAGCATGACCTGCTATGGTGCATCTCCCTCCCTGGCTCCTCCCTTTTCTCTCTGCTTCCAGGCCACCAGGCATGAGGTACTTTCTTCCACCACGCAGCTTCTGCCTTGGAGCCAGCCAGCTTTGGACTGAACCCACAAAACTGTTAGCCAAAATATACCTCTCTTCCTTTAAGTCAAGGACG